GACACACCCCAAAACCAGAGAGGAGGGAGCCCGATTCCTCGCGGGGTCACATGATTCCACCTTTGGCTGTGGGTTATGTTGTTGCTGGGGCACTATTCGCCCTGAATCTGGTTTACTGCACACTTGCATTTGCATTCCACACCCTGTACGACAACAACTTTGCAGAGTGCCCTCTTGCACTCCAGGATCCCTCGGGGGATGTTGAAAGGCCAGGCCGAGGAACCTCACCTATCGGAGGGACCCCACTCACTCCACAGACGCCTTTGGAGCCACAGTGCCACCCCAGGTGCAGCTGGCCAGGGAAGGGCCTCGGGAGGTTGGCTCTAGGGTGTGTTGGACCCTTCTCGCCCAATCCCGCCTCACTGGCCACCTTCTAATTAATTTCCTTTCAATGTGCATGAATCCGTGCACCGGGTCATTAGTAAGTAAATAAGAAGAGTATGAAAATTACTTAAAAGTCATGAAGCAGGGCCCTGCTGGTTTGGCTTAGTGGATTAAGTGTCGGCCTATGGTCTGAAGGATCCCAGGTTCAATTCCAGTCAAGGGCACATGCGCAGGTTGTGGGCTCGATCCCCAGTAGGGGGTGTGCAGAAGGCAGCCAGCCAATCAATGATTCTATCTTATCATTACATTTCTATCTCTCCCTCTCTCTTCCTCTCTGAAATCAATAAAAATATATTTTTTAAAAAGTCATGCAGCAGGAGTTAAACTTGTCTAGCTTGAAAAGTATATCATGATCTGACTCAAGATTAAGGACATATTACATGATCACCTTCATCCCTTGTTTTTCATTGTTGTTATTGGTTTTTTGTTTTTTTTTAATTTTAGGGTTTATGACATAGTTGCTACAAAAAGGGCCTTAGCCAGACAGTCAGGGACTAGAAAAGTTTCTCTGAATTTACAGCTGCAGTTCCAGGCTTTATATCACTAATGGTTATGCTCCTTCAATCAGCTAAGAAGACAAATTCCAAAACTGTTTGGGATGACAAAATATTTCCTTAATGGGTGAATATATTTAAATTTCAGGAAGATGCATAATTAATTATGAAAATAATTAAGAAAAGAAAACCAATAGTTAAATAGTTAAAGAACTGAAGACAAAAACTGCGTATTAGCCCTGGCTGGTGTGGCTCAGTTTGTTGGGTGCCCTCCCATGCACCAAAGGGTTGCCCGCAGGATTCCTGGTCAGCGCACATGTCTGGGTTTCAGTTCCCATCCCCAGTGGGGGTTGTGTGGGAGGAAGCCAATGGATGTTTCACTCTCACATCAATGTTTCTCTCTCTTTTTCCCTTCCTGTCTCTCAAAGAATAAAAAAAAAAAAAAACAGACAAAAAAATTACAAAAAGCCCCTTTAAAAGATATTAGGGTAATGCTGGCCAGTGCGACTTAGTTGATTGGAGCGTCATCCTACAAACCAACAGGTGGTGGGGTTTGATTCCCAGTCAGGGCACATACCCAAGTTTCAGATTTAATCCCTGGTCAGGGAGCACAAGGGAGGCAGCCAATTGATGTAATGTTTCTCTCTCACGTTGATATTTCTCTCTCTAAAATGAATTTTAAAATGGTTAATTAAGGTCAGAAATTAGATGACTTAACAGCTTGTGAACAGGCTTGAAATGTGAAAACCTTCAATAAACATGGTTTTAATTTTTAAAACTCAAAGTAATCACATTACCCAAAGGAATATACAGACTTAACACAATCCCCATGAAAATCCCAATGATTTCCTTTTAAATAGAACAAAAATATCATCACATTTCTATAAAACCACAAAAGACCCCAAATAGCCAAAGCAATCCTTAGGGGGGGGAAAAACCAAAACCTTGCTGGAGGTATCACACCACCTGACGTACAATTATACTACAAAGCAAAGATAATCAAAACATCATGGTATTGGCAAGCCCTGGGAGGAAAGGTCAGGGCAGGGTCTGAACCACATGACCAGCAATATGCCCGGGAGGAAAGGTTACTCTGGGGTCCAGGTTCTTGTTTTCCCAGTTTTGCCTGTTGCTAGGCACCTAGAGCTTTCCACCCTGATGACCTTCTATACCTGCCTGTGGTCACTGATCTGCTCATGTCTAACTGCCTACCACACTCATACGTGGGTAAAAAATAATATCAACAGAGCCACTCCAAAATGAAGTTGGTGTTGTCATCCCAGAAGAACTGCCTTACACATCTCACTCCTCAAACCTTTACAAGGTTAAAATTGGCAAAATAGCCTTTGGATTGGACCCAAAGCAGCCTTGTGTCCCAAACCAACTGTTTGGAAAACAGACATCAGGACTACTGAACTGAAACCGAAAGACAATCTTCTTATTTTATTATCCTTGAGAATTCGCTTCACTATGTTAGCTTATCTACACCTATAAAAATTCCTTTTTCTATTCATATAATTATCCGCCTTTCCTTTCTCATAAATACTCCTTGCCTTCACCTCCTAATCAGAATAGTACTCATATTTCTGCCTAAATCGGTGCTACCACAATAGTTCTTCTTTGGGGTCTCAAATAAATGCTTGTTGCCTCTCACTTTGGCTTTTCATTTTGAGGTTAACAGCACATCTCAAATATATGGCCTAGGCATATCTCCACTTCCCATTTATTCAGCCAATAGTCAGGATATAATTTAATTAAGCTAATCGGTGTTTTTTGTTGTTGTTTTTTTAAAGGCTACTTTCTCTTAAGAGCCTAATAAATAAAAATTCATGTGATCATTTTGTTTATTCTATCTGTAAGCACTTATAGGTCATCATTTGAGAAAAATGCTAAACCCTGCCAAATCCATTTCTTTCCTGTAAGAAACTGAACCCAACTAATTAGGCCCTCTATAGTGTTAGAAATTTAAGGCATTGCTCCTCTTTGTAGACAGGCATTTTCTCTAGGTCATAAATCTATTAAACTTAAAAAACTCAAAGTTACTACAGTATAACACCTGGTGCCCAGATCTTGGTTTCTTATAACAAAGAAAGAGGGAAGGAAGGAAGGAAGGAAGGAAGGACGGAAGGAAGGAAGGAAGGAACGAACGAACGAACCAGAGTGAGTGTCTTGGAGGAATGGCTGATTCCAGGTTTGGGGTATCGAAAATGCAAAATGAGTCTGGAACATTCTACTTTAAAAGAGGGGGGAGAAGAAGAATGGTGGTTATTTCAAAAGGAGGCAGGGACCAACCTGAAAGAAGAGGTCCCAGTAGCCAAAGCTGGAATAATTTGAGCAGCAAATTAAATAACAATAGTATTGGATTATAACCCATCTAATAAAATAAGTAATCATGAGTAGGTCCTGATACCAGGCAGCTGTTCTGTATAAAAGAATTCTAATTAGTAAACATAGAAGGAATGAGAAGAATTTTTTTTCAAATTACCATTAGAACAACAAAGTACAATGTATACCCAATTCTTCCAATGGATACTAAAATCAGTGAATAAAACCTTAAGGAGAAACACGATATTAGCATAATCCAAGTTTAAGTTCGAGCAGAAACAGGATATTTGCACTCCAAATTTCTCTCCAAAGATAATCCACTTTCCATTGGGAACCTGGCAAGGTTAACATCAGTAATGAGATGTCATGTACCCTGGATAAATTCACTGGAATTTTCTATTTTTTTCCCAAAATGCCAGAACCTCAATCTAATCATGGGAAAACATCAGGAGGGACATTATATAAAATAACTGATCAGTAGTCTTCACGAGTGTCAAGGTCATGAAAAACAACAGAAAGTTGAGCCATTGTCACAGATTGGAGGAAACTAAGGATGCATAACAATCAAATGCAACATGACACCCTAGACCACATTGTGAACAGAAAAAGATGGTGAAAACCAGTGAAATCCTAGTAAGTCTACAGTTTAGTTAACAGTGTCACAGCATTGTACCAATGTTAATCTATTAGTT